GGGTACCCTATTTGCTACGATTTGCCACTATTTGCCACTATTCGCCACTATTCGACACTGTTCGCGACTATTCGAGACTATTCGCACTATTCGTTATTCGGGACTATTCGCTGTTTGCTATTCGCAACTATTCGCTATTAGCTATTCGGGTTTTCCAGACACCCAATTGGACATGTTATTACGTCATCTGTTTGGTTTGCGCGACAGACATGTCGTAAACTAACGCTCTACTAAGACCAAGCCAAAAAAAAAGTCGTTGTTATTCATGCAATTCAAACTTACGTGGCTTGTCTTTATCTCCACCGGTTTTGATAGTCACGTGCACGTTCCCATGACCCGTCGGCTTACCACGTGGCTGTTCCGTTTGTTTACCAGCGTCCTTGGATATTTTCGACCCCTTCGGTTTGACATTTTCTGGGAAGCGCCCAAGCACATTCCCTGCAGGGGAGTAACGTGCGACCACGAATTGTGTCCCATTAGCGTTGCTAGCTTTGGCGACACCCATCTCCTGGGAGCCTATCCAGACAACCTGAGTGAAGTGGCCAGTTCCTGAAGAAAATCCCGGGTTGCCAAAACTGTAGTCTTTGATCTCCTCATACCACATGTCCACCGCCCTTTGACCTGTCATTTCATATCCTTTGGATGAAACGAAGAAATTGACAGAGGTGTTACGCTTTCCAAGAAAGAGGTCTGTTTTGACCTGGTTTACTAAGTCAGGTGAAGGGTCTTTGTTTCGAGTAACTTGGTAGCGTGTGTGTGCGCCTTATACAAGTTTTCAACCTCGTTCCCAGGGGAAAAGCCTTGGAAACGAGGTTGAAAAGTCTTACCTCTTTCACTGTCAAGGATCCGCCAAGTACAACATTAAACAAAAGAATATATCAAATGTTTCAATAAGCATTTTGTCCTCAATAGCTTTTATCTGAATGGTTACATCTCAAAGGCTTCATCCAGAAGTTTGCTCAACAGCTTAGTAAGATAAGATTTCATCCATAAACTCAAATTTTAGAACCATTCTGTACTGTAAATACTGATAAGACAGGATAATTAATACCGCTTGATAGCCTTCATTTAAATGGCATACCTAGGGGTTCGTCCACGAACTTGGTTTACAGATAATTCATCGGCCACGTAGAAAGCAAGAAGACTCAAATGGCGCCAAAAAGTAGCGTACAATTATAATTGCTGAAACTTTCATCATTTGAATTGGAGCCGTTAAAAAGGAACCACTGCTTCCTAAAAACGTTCAAGACTCACCAATTCTAAACAACAGGCAAAAACTGAATTGAAAAATAAAAAGCTTGGATAATATACCTGAAGCATATGCAAGGTTTTCTCCATCATCCCCACTGTAGTGCTGAAGGCGGTTTAGCTTCACTAGCTGCTTGGCCCATTTTTCTGCGTCCGAAGCCAGTTTTGAGGACCATTTTAACGGAGGTGCTCCGTGCTGGGCTCGGTACTTATTGTGGGCGCTTAAGCACTCGTTTTGAAATTGATTGGGCATGGCTGCAAAGATTGAACAGAACAAGATAAGTTCAGTCACGGTTATCACAGATTGGTTTCAGATTAACACGCGTTATGGTCTAACGTGAAGAAGAACATAAATCTACGCGGAGCTGGAAACATCTGCCATAGAATGCATGATCGTGTCCAGCTACAAACGAGTGTAACCGTACTTACGGAGTGGCACTGACAAGTAATAATAAAACAGCGTTAATTGTAACAAAAGCGTGCAATCGAATTTGTTGATCGCACTAAATTCTGTATTTCTCTCATATGTTCCAATTTACTAGAAAAGAAAAAGTACGAGAAAAGTTAAGAGTTTTGATAACGAATCCGAGTAACCACTAATCGACTTCCTTTCAAAACATGCGAAAAACGTTGCCCAATCTAGCTATGAATAACTGCGCACAAAAATATGGTTATTTGCAGCGGTGTCCAAACGCACACTTCAATGTTTCTGTTTCCGGCCGCGCTCGTTTGCTTCTGTTGTGACGGCGCAGTATTGCAGTTGTGTTTCTATAAGGTTCATAAAGATTTAACTCTTTGATTTCAAGGGTATAACATGATGGGTTTTCACCTAATCGCTTCATGTGCGGAGTACTACAAACTCGGATTCAAATTCAAGATCCAAATCAAGTATGATGCAATAAGCGCGTTCATTGAGGGCCCCAGCTTGAAAATGCTTTCTTTGTTCCTTGAAAAGTCTGCTATTTATGAATAACGTTTTCCATGTAACTGTTATATGTCAGATGCACCGCTCAATTCCGACGACAAACCCCCACTCACCCTCCCC